TACAAAAAAACACACAGTTTAAGATAAAAACTGCTCCCAGCAGCAAAGCTGAAGTTCTTTCTGCTCAAAATGAGTTTTAAAAAGCACAAACTGTAAATAACAAACAGATCAAATCAGTTTTAAAGCTGAGAAAACAGTACAAAAGGATATTTCTCATAATTTTGGATGAGAAATAAGGAAAAAGTCGGTCACCAACAGAGAGAGAGGACAGTAAAGTGAACACAGAAATGAGAAAAAGGTTCTACAAGCCTGACATCTGCTGTTTGGATGAGGTTAAAACATCTGAGGCTCATTTTTAAAGAGGGTTTCCATCAGAACTTTTTCTGGACCTGATGGACTCTAAAAAGGCCTTTTCTAAAGCAGATGGACCCTAAAATACATTTTCTTTTAACCAGATGGACCCTAAAAATGCCTTTTTCTGAACCTGAAGGACCCTAAAATGCTTTATATCTGGACCTTTCCTGCTTTTCTTTCTCTGATTTAACCTCCCGTTCAACTGCAGTTAGTTTTTAAAGTTTTCTTTGACAGGCTCTTTGCAGTTTTGATGTCATTTTCAGGTCCCTGACCCCACCAGCAGGGGGGGTGATGGACGTTTGCCTCTGCCTTTACTCCCTGATCCACCAGCTGTTGGCTTTATTTCCACTCTGACATTCAACTTCATGACGCCGATATTTCCTCCAGGTGCATTCTGGGTAAAGCTGGTCGCCATGTTGTAACATGGGGTCGTCATGAGGGGTCCTTGGCCCCGCCCCCGGCCGGCTCTGATTGGTCCCCATCCACCTGTAATGAACCTGGCAGCTGCCCGACCTCCTTCTCCCTCCTCTTTGTTTACATTACAGCAGAAGAGGCTCAGAAATACGATCCGGCCCTCAGCTGGAAACAGAGAGCCTGATATTGTTGAGCCGCAGAACAAACGGGGGCTTTATGTTCCTGAGCCCAGAGCGGCGGCCTCTGCCAAATGTTGATGGAATCACTGGCTTTCGACCACCAGGACATTTGCATATTCCAAAAAATAATAAACAACTTCATTATTTCTGATTAAGAAGTCAGATTCTGTTTATTTCCTGAACAGAAAAGCGAGTTTTAGTGGTTGGATGTTGGATGAGAAAAATCTGGTAACTGGGTTTGAAATCCCGATGAGCTGAAAAATGGTGAAACACTGACACAAAACTAACAGAAAAAACACAAGAACACAAAGAAGAGACATAAAGTGACCTAGAATATGCAAAGGTTGGCATGAAAGCACACAAAATGAAGGGGAAATAAATTAATCAGACTCAAAACCACAAGAAAAAACACAATAAATGGACATAAAACACATAAAACCATCACAAAGGTACCACAAAGACTCACAAATCAACAATAGAGAGACAGAAAATTACCCAGAAAAAGCTGTGAGAGCTGATTTAAAGCTCAGAGTGGGAATTAAAGCTGCTCCTGATGCTCTGAGACAAACCAGAGACACAAAGTCCTCATTGACTGTTCTCATGAGCTGTCCTCCTCTGTGGTCTCCAGATGTTCAGCACCAGTTTGTGACAATTTTAAACACATTTCTCTGCACTTTCACCTCTGAAACTCAGAGCTGGGGTCACTTTTCCACCTCAGGGAGCATCTTTTTCTCCAAAGGGGCCAAAACAAAAAGCCGCCTGTTCCAAATGATGAATATTCTGATGCATCGAGCTGTTTAACAACAAGAGGGGGGGGGGGGCTGGAAAGATGCTCATCCCGAGGCTGGGCTCATCCTGTGAGCTAAAACCTGACAAAACCAGAACACAGGGGGATGACATCATCTGCTAGGCGTCATGATGATGTCATCCAGAGGCATCGATGTGTCGATCTGACACTAAACGGTCATCTGGGGTCACAACAACAGCGTGAACAGAGGCTCTTCACATCACCACAGCAACCACACCTCAGCTGTCCCTCATCCACAGGGGGGCGAAAACTTTTATAGGTTTAAAAATGTGTTGGGGGGGGGGGGGGGGGATCCATAATGCCTTGGAGGACATCGATTTGCAGCTTTCAAGTGGATCTCTGAGTTTTCCTCTCATTAAACACAGTTTTTTTTTCCATTCCTAAACCCAAAAGACAAGAATAGGAAAACAGGAAATGTATTAATAATTTCATTAAGAGCAGAGCTGTGATGAAATGGTCTCTTAAGAACTAACAACTGTGAGATCTAATGAAACGGTTTTGTTTAAATGCATATGACAACAGGATACATTTTATCTGCACTCTTCAGTTTTAAACTAGTAATTAGTGATTTATTTATTCATTTTTTATTGTTTGTATTTATTTTCTGATTTAAATTGTCTGTTGGTTTGTGTTTGCTCCCTTTAGAGTTTCACTTTATGGCTGAATTCATGTAAATTACTAATTTTGATTAATTTTGGAGCTCATATAACCTCTCTGGGTCCACTCACAGATTCATCTCTGTGGCATCAGAAACAACAGTTTTTATCCCATTTCAGGGGAATCTGGATTAATTAGGAGCTTAGTGATAGAGATCCTCGGGGAGCTTTGTCAGTTGGAGCCCAGCGCGGATTTACACCTGCAACCAGAATAAATTACACATTTGTACTCTGAACAAAAAGAATCGTGCTAACAATACAGTTTTTATAAGACACTATTGTAACTTAAATTAGTATCAACTAGCGTTAGCACCATCTATTGATAGCTGCTATTTAAATTAGCCTCAGCTAGCATTAGCACCAGCTAATACATAATACCAACTAGCTGACACATGATTTAATTACATATTTAGATACATTGATAGACAATGTTTATGAATCCCGAAGAAACTTGTGGACTCAACAGCATTTTAATCAATAAAGCAAACCAAAGAGTAAAGGAAGTGCACCAACTGGCTTTAACGGTGGCTAACATTAGCCTAGACGCTAGCCTAGACTTTAGATAGGGCTTTAGTTCAGGCAGCACAGCCTAAATCTTCTGTACAGCATTTTCTGTGGCGCTAATGTTCTAAATGAAGAAATTATATACCTCGCTAACATATTTTTTTTTAAAGATAAAATACCAAATATGAAAAATTCCTCCTAATTTCATTGTACAGTGTGTAAAGATGTTAATATTACCAATCTCTATTTAACCGACTGAGGAAGCTGTAAATGTCACATAGCTCATTTTTTCTTATCCAGAGGAGCAAAGGGAGTTAAGTTTGTGCTTCAGATTCTGATGCTGGGAATCTCCCAGGCCAGCGTTTGCATGTGTGTTAGTTTACAAAGGTGGCAGAAGTCACAAAAACTGTCTGAATTACAGCCGCCGGAGCTCAAAGCCGCCCCTCTCTGCAGATGTGAGGGCACAGTGGAGGGCTTTCTTTCTCCAGAGGCAGATACTGAAGATAGTCAGCTGCCTCTCTGCGTGGGCGTCCTGGTCTGCATCTGCATTCCTGTCAGGGTTCAAGGATGTCTCCCATGTTTGTGTCCCACTGCTCTGTCACATGGCAGCCATTGTTGTCCCATGGCGTCCAGCCCCAGGAACAAATCCAAGGCTCTTCTGGACGGGCCATGTGGTCGGCCCACGCTCTGGATTCCTGCCCCTATCGGGCGCGTGGGCTCTGGGTTCTGATCCGGCCCATAGCCGCGACAGAAACAGCTCTGTGTGCAAAGCAGAGTGGACCAAATGGCTTCACAAAACGCTGCCATATGGAGGCACCATCACCCCCAGATCTGGGTTTTTCCTCCTGTTTTGGTCTGATAAGCAGCTGGATGCTTCCTGCTCTGCTGGTTAAACTCTGACTGAAACCTGTCTGTGGTCACACATCAACATCTGAGCCTCTGATCCAAACCAGAGTCCAGAGAACTCAGAGTCCAGTTCTGCTGGTTCTCCTCCAGAATGAGGCTTCATTTCCTGAAAATCAGCTCTGTTCTATCAAAGTTTCTGCCTTTTTTCTCCAAAATCAGCTCTAATTGTTTCCTAAACGTCTCCGAAAGTCCTCTAACTTTATTCCAGAGATGCAGAAAAAAGCAGAAAAGCTTCTCCACTGAACAATGAAACTTATGAAGCTGTTTGCGTTGTTTAACACAAAACTGGACGTTCCAGCTCCAGTTTAAAGCTTTAAAGCTGCTCCTTATGCTCTGAGACAAAGCAGAGACACAAAGTCCTCATTGACTGTCCTCATGAGCTGTCCTCCTCTGTGGTCTCCAGATGTTCAGCACCAGTTTGTGTTGATTTTAAACACATTTTTCTGCACTTTCATCTCTGAAACTCAGAGCTGGGGTCACTTTTCCCTGTGTTTCCACCTCGTGGAGCATCTTCTTCTCCAAAGGGGACAAAAAACAAAAAGTTCACTGTTCCCAGTGATGAATATTCTGATGCTGCATGGGTGTTTTCCAGCACAATCCTGCTTTGTCGGTCTGCATGGGGGAGAAGAATTCCCTCCCTGCTCCGATCAGGGCGCTTTTACTGACCCGAAGCTGCTCTTTTTTAGTCTGAAATGAAGTTTATCTGGTCTTTTAGGGGGCAGAAGGGGCTGAAAAAAAGGTCAAGATGCATCTCAGATGTGACTCATTCAGTCTGAAAGCAGGAAAATGTGAGAGTTCAAAGGTGCAAAGTGAATGCTGGCAGGTTTGTGCAAGCTGGGCAGACACCACTCAAAAAGCTTTTTTTTAAATAAATTGAAACCTTTTTATTAGAAAAATACTATACAACAGCATTAAGTATATATATTTACAATTCGAGCAAAAAAAAAAGAAATACTTAATAATTCAACAACAGGACATTATCTATGATTGAAATTAAAGAATTATTTTTAAGAAAATAATGCTGGCCCACTTTTCTTTGTTGATTTGATGTAATATTGTCGATGTACAAATCATCCAGTGTCTGATTTTAAAATCTGTGTCGAAACCTGAAGGAAAGATAAATGGGTTATCTATTGGATAAGTTGCTTTTTTATTGGATAAGTTGGTTATCTATTGGATAAATGGGTTATTTATTGGATAAAGGAGTTATTTATTGGATAAGTTGGTTATTTATAGGATAAGTCGGTTATTTATTGGATAAGTCGGTTATTTATTGGATAAGTTGGTTATTTATTGGATAAGATGGTTATTTATTGGATAAGTTGGTTATTTATTGGATGAGTTGGTTATTTAATGGACTAGTTGGTTCTTTATTGGATAAGTTGGTTATTTATTGGATAAGTTGGTTATTTATTGGATTAATGGGTTATTTATTGGATAAGTTGGTTATTTATTGGATGAGTTGGTTATT